ACCCCCACCTGCCAAGGATAGGGTAAGGAGCCTCTGGGACAAGTTCAAATGTACCAACATTCGAATCACAGGGGTGCTGGAAGGAGAAGGGTAAGAGCAAGAAATTGAAAACATTTTAAAAAATGGTGAAAGAAAACTTCCCCAATCTGGTGAAAGATATAGACAGGAAAGTCCAGGAAGCACAGAGTTCCAAACACGATGCAGATGCAAAGAGGCCCACTCCAAGGTACATCATAATTAAAATGCCAAAGGTTAAAGATAAAGAGAGAATCTTAAAAGCAGCAAGAGAAAAACAGAGAGTTACCTACAAAGGAGTTCCCATAAGACTGTCAGCTGATTTCTCAGAAGAAACTTTGCAGGCAAGAAGGGACTGGCAAGAAGTATTCAAAGTGATGAAAAGCAAGGACCTACAACCTAAATTATTCTATCTAGCAAAGCTGTCATTTAGAATCAAAGGGCAGATAAAGTCCTTCCCAGACAAGGTAAAGCTAAAGGAGTTCATCATCACCAAGCCATTATTACATGAAATGTTAAAGGGACTTATTTAAGAAAAAGAAGATCAAAATGATGAACAGTAAAAAGGCAACAAATTCACAACTATCAACAACTGAATCCAAAAATAAACTAAGCAAACAAGCAGAAGAGAAACAGAATCACAGACATAGAGATCTTTGTATGGTTACCAGTGGGAAGGGGAAGAGGGAGAATGGAGGAAAAGGTGCAGGGATTAAGAACTACAAAGGGGTAGGTACAGAATAGGCAGGGGGATGTTAAGAACAGTATAGGAAATGGGAGTAGCCAAAGAACTTATATATGCATGACCCATGGACATGAACTAAGGGGGGGGGGTATGGCTGGAGGAAATGGGGGGTACCGGCTGGAGGGGGGCTAAGGAGGGAAAATTTGGACAGCTCTAATAACACAAGCAATTTTATATATATATGTATATATACACATACACACACACACACACACACACACACATATATATGTATATTTTTTTAAAGACTTCCTGGGAAAAAAAAAGTAAAGTTGCACTATATGGAACTGATATAGAACCAACTTCCAAGGTGCACTGTTCAGTGTTTAAAAGTATCCAGTATCATTTAATTTTTAAAAACTAGTTCAATTTTATGTACTCTACTCACTACCAGTAAAAATGTTGGAAATTTTTAAGTATTTTTCCCTTTAAACTTTTAATGTAACAGTTAGATTTTTGGAAGTTAAGAAATAAAACCATCTCCTCTCTGCCTCCATAGAACAGTTAAGTACTAGAATAAGCAAAAGCACTTCTCCATATCATATAACTTTACTACCAAATTTATACTAAATCCACAAAGTTCTTCAACTGCAAGTGAAAACTGCTGTCCAGATTAACTTCCTAAGTAATAAAATTATTAGATATTAAATCCATTCTGGAATTATGTTCCATAAAACAATTTTAAAAGCAGTACAACTGCATTATATTATAAAATCTTATGACAAAGAGGTAAAGGCCCAGCTATTGGTATACATACTGAAAACTGAATGCTCAAAGGGAGACAGAGCATTCTGCCCCTTTAGAACCATCGCCAGTGGGCCATGGAAGGGTACCTAAGGCACCCAGAGGTCCCTTATTCAAAGTCTATGTTCACTCAGCCTCTACCTTATTTGTCCTCAGACACTAAAAGAAACTGTTGCTTGGTGATAGCAATGGTTAGTACCTAGGACTCTGGGGTATGTCAGACCCAGGTTAGAATCCTAACTTCACAATTTTATAGGGGAATAATCTACAAATCTCAATTTCCTTATCTGTAGAGTAATACAGATTACCACCAAGTTAATGTTAGTAAGAGTACAGTGTCTGGAAAAAATTACCAGGATGCTGAACAGACACTTCTCCAAGGAGGACATACAGAGGGCCCAGAGACATATATGAAAGGATGCTCAGCATCACTAGCCATCAGAGAAATGCAAATTAAAACCACAGTGAGATACCACTTCACACCGGTCAGAATGTCTATCAAAACCAAATCAACAAACAAGAGCTGGTGAGGTTATGGAGAAAAGAGAACCCTAACACACTGCTGGTAAGAATGCAGACTGGTGCAGCCACTGTAGAAAATGGTTTGAAATTTCCTCAGAAAGCTAAAGATGGACTGCCTTTTGCCCTGGCAATTCCACTGCTGGGATTATACCCTAAGAATCCTGAAACACCAATTCTAAGAACCTATGCGCCCCAAAGTTCATAGCAGCACAATTTACAATAGTCAAGTGCTGGAAGCAACCTAAGTGCCTATCCGTATATGAGTGGATCAAAAGACTTATGGTACATTTACACAATGGAATACTACACAGCAGAAAGGAAGAAGGAACTCCTACCCTTCGTGGCAGCATGGATGGAACTGAAGAGCATTACGCTAAGTGAAATGAGCCAGGTGGTGAAAGACAAATACCATATGATCTCACCTGTAAGTGGAACCTAATCAACAAAATGAACAAGCAAGCAAGATACAACCAGAGACATTGAAATGAAGAACAAACTAACAGTAACCAGAGGGGAGCGGGGAAGAGGGATAATGGGAGAAAATAGGGGAAGGGTTGTCAAGGAACATGTATAAGGGACACATGGACAAAGCCAATGGGGGTAGGTTTGAGGGTGGGAGATAGGGATGGGTAGGGCAGGGAGGAGTGGCGGGGGGGGGGGGGAATGGAGACAACTGCACTTGAGGAACAACAACAACAAAAAACAGGATGCTGTTACTGTTGTATTTTCAAGTTTCTAAAATTTTTCACTTTAATACTTGGTTTTTGTAACTGCAGATCCTGATCAGTTTTCATTATTACTGAGCTACCAGACATTAAGAACATGTAAAACTATTTCCTTAACCAAGTTTTCCAAGATCAGATTGCTAAAACTAAGCAAAATAAAAATTCAAATCAGATCTGACTAACTGTAACCAAACTATATGGCATGCTTCTTCCTCAGCTCTTCTTCCTGATTAATCTCCTGGTAACTAACATCTTGCCTTTGCAAAATGACTGGAAGTCAGGAGTCATGGAACAGAGTCAAGTTACCTGAATTACGTGGGGCTGAACTTCTGACATAGTACTCTAACCAAGTTAATTAAGACATTTCAGCTACTTAAAAGGAGGCTGGAGAAAAAAAAAATTACCAAGTAAAGGTATCAGTCGAAGACAAAAAAATAAAGCGCCTCTGATGCTACAAGTAAGCAAGGTCACTTCATTCACATATATTTCAGGAGTCAAAGTTGCAAAGGATTAAATACTCAGCAAAATGACTACTAGCTTACCTGTACTATTTGCTTGCTTTTGTACAGGCATGGAAATAATTAAGAATAGAAGTAGTTTACTCACAATAGTAAATGAGTAACAGATCACCCAAAGTACATGTATTCAGCTTTAGAAATAAGGCATATGGTCTAAACAGGTAATCTAAAGTAATAGATATATACATTAAAATAAAGTACATCATCACCTATACATACACTTCCCAAATTATAGGTTGATTCAGGTAAGTATCAAAATTAATTTCCATATGGAGAGGCCAGGACAGAAATCTGCTAAATAATACAGTGAATAATGAAATCACCATCTCCCTAGATCAGCAAAAAAATACGTTTATAAAACATAACTTACAAGACATTATCAGCTCCACAGGAATAACAAAAATAAGGTACAAGAAGAAAATGAGTAACATTTAAACTCCCACTGCATATTAGAACCAGGTTAGCTCCTTGCTGTTTCCATTAAACCAATCTAGGATTAAAAACTGGTTTTCAACTAATCCATACATGGATAATCAAGAGGCAAATATACACAGGCATATATAAACTCACATTTAAATATGTGGTTACTAAACACTTTACAAAATAAAAAATTTCATAAGACAACTGATAGAAATGGAGCAAGAGATGAGGTCACCTACCACTTAACTCTACTGATAGAAGTCATTGTGTGCTCTCCTCAAACATTAGGTAACTGCCAAAACAACATACGCCCCTATCTGGTATTGTCATTCAGAAGAGCAACCATGGTAAGCCTCTGAAATGCGTTTTATCAGCTCAGAAAGAATTAGATGGTATACACATCTCCACATAACATCAGGTAAATGGAAAAGTGTCAAGAAAATATTTTTTTTTCCCCTGACCACAAACTGCCTAAAAGACAATTTCCAAGACCTTTTGCAATTACAATAGCTAGTACAAGAGAAAAACTTTAGACTGAGCCTCACTTGCAGAAGCCCTCCACTGGGCGTTTCTACTAGTCTGTGCCCAACTTTTGTGTTTCCCACACTAGCACTAAGGCTATGCATCCTGCTGATAAAGCCGGACATGTGGTACTTAATACACCAAAAGAGAATCACCAACAATGTCGACTATACAGTTGCATTCTGAGTGAGGACTTGAGGTTTAGCAAGAAGCGAAGCAGTAAGAAAAACTAGCTGTATACACAAGTGGTCTGCCTGCACACTGCAAGCAAGGCAGGGCAATGCGCCCCGCAGGCTCAGGAAGTTGATTAATCCAGGGGAAAGCTCCTTGCCCTCCTCTGTAAAAAGGAACGTGTACCTGGCAAACCAAACGGCAAATCGATTAAAGAATTCCCCGATGGCCTACCGGCCAGTACAGGAGGCAAGTTAAGACGCTGGGAAGCAGGTACGGAAAAGAGGCCAGAGTTCACGGACAGACTGGTAATGATCCACCAGCTCCGTTGGGAGGCCCAAACTAGGAGAGCCTGGGGTGCCTCCTCCGGAGCTGGGAAGGTAATGACTGGATGGCCTCTGGTTGGTCCTTCTCAACAGCCCTTTCCAGCAGGGATGGGGCTGTGGATACCCTGGCCCGGCAACAGACGCTCCCTTCCACTAGGTTCACGGAGAGCGGCTCTCAAAGGCCGCCCTGCGGCCATGTGGCTGGGGCCGCAGGGTGCCCGAACCCGGTGCCCGTCAAACAGGAGGTGTGGGGTGAAATCCAAAGAACGGGATGTTAGGGTTCAAGACTCACTTCCTTTGGGCTTTGTCCTTCTTGGCCTTGGTCCTTTTCTTTCGGGCCTGGAGCGCAAGCACTGCAGGAGAGAGGGATGGATGAAGGGCGAATGTGGAGGAAAGGAGGCGACCAAGGTGAGGGTGGAGACCGAGCTGCGGCGCGAGGCCCGGGTGCGGGGTCTGCCTACGGGGCGGCTCGGCGGCAAGCGCCGCGGCTTCAACAAGACGGCCGGCCAGGGGACTGGAGACCCACGGGGCGCAAAGAAACACCCAGGCAGGGTGTGCCGGCGGGGCCTCGCGCCAGGTCAGGGGGCCGGCGGCCGGATATCTGCCTCGCCCGCGGACAGCGGGGCTCTGCAGTGGCCCCAAGACGCGGGCCAGCCTGGTGGGGAACAACGGGCGAGGGCTGCTGGCGTGGAAGGACGCCCGGGCAGAGGGGCGCGGACCAGCAGCCCAGAGGCGGGGGTGGAGGGGCGGCGCCACCTCAGTGGAGGGGCGCCACACGCCCGGATACCCGACTGCGGCGGTTAGGCCAAGCTCCCGCCGGTGATCCGGGCCTCGCCCCGGCAGCCGTTGCCCCTCGTGGCGAAGGCCGCTTCACCGCTCACCTTTCCGCTCCATGGCGAGACCGGTAACCGCCAGGCGCCTGCGCACTCGAGTGGCGGTGCCTCCCGCTCCCGCCGATGCCCAAAAGCGAGCCCGCGCACACTCCACCCCCGCCCCCCAGGTTCTTGCCCCGTCCCCGCCCCACGACGGCGCGCGCCTGCGCGTTGAGCGTGGAGCCTACCACCTGCTCCTGAGAAGGGGGGCGCAGAAAAGAATGGGGACGAGGAGAGCTGGGAAGAAAAGAATGTGGAACGTGAACGCTACAGACAGTTTGAGAACTAAGCGTGGAAGCCGGACGGGGTGAGGTTTGTTCTGTTTGCTGGGCTGTTACTCCTTAGGAAAGGCTTAGAGCGCTCCTTTAAGGTTCCCCTGGGTGCTGAGTCAGAGTTCCGCAGCCAACTGGAACTGGACTCAGTTTCCCGGTCTATAAAATGGGTTGATCAGGCGTGTTCCAGTGCTTTCGCAGAGCTGTGAGGGCCAATTGAGATACTATATAAAGAAAATGAGGGGAGAAGTTGCAAGTGAGAAAGTAGAGGAAGTGGGAGCAACACAAAAGAAAGACTGAAAGGAAGGAACCTGTAACCCTGTTGTCATTTAAATAGGGAAGATAGTCAGTAGTGTTGTAATGACTGTATTGTGCCAGGTGGGTCCTGGAAATATCGGGGGAACACTTTGTAAAGTATATGATTGTCTAACCACTATTCTGTAACTACTACAAAACCTGAAACTAATACAAAATAATATTGAATGTAAAAAAAATAAATAAAAGTTAACCCTAGCTGGTGTAGCTCAGTGAATTGAGTACAGGCCTGCAAACCAAAGAGGTTCTATTCCCAGTCAGGGCACATGCCTGGGTTGCAGGCCATGTCCCCAGTTGGGGGCATGCAAGAGGCAACCACACATGGATATTTCTCTCCCTCTCTTTATCTTTCTCTTATCCTATCTTTAAAAATAAAGTCTTTTAAAAAATAATAATAATTGAATTTTTTCTTAAAATTTCAAGTTTAAATGAAGGCTCTAAAGGAAAGAAGGGGACAATAAAAATAGTGCTTTTTAAAAATTTTTCCACTTTATCATCTTTTCAGTACATGATAAACACAGTTGTCTTTATAGCATGCTTTTATATTTTCTAAGTGCATTATTTCATTTGATGTTCATGGCAACTTCAAGGCAAGATAGTTATACCCTCCACTATGCAAAGAAAGGAAAGCTTGGAGGTAATGTGTACTTAGAGCCTTGGTGTCTGGACCCAGTGATTCAATCATCAAACCCTTATTGTAAAGCAGGGTTAGTAAAGATTTTCTGTGAAGGGCCATATAGTATATATTCGTGCCGCAAGGTCTCTTTTTCCGGCTGCTCAACTCTGCCACTGGAACTCAAAAGCAATCATAGAAAGTAGAGGTTGTGTGTTAAAGCAAAGCTTTATTTATGGTCCCTGAAATTTAAATTTCATGTAATTTTAACAAAACATTATTCTTCTGTTGATCTTTTTTCAATTATTTCAACCATTTTTGGCTCAGGCCTGAGTTTATCAACTCCAGGTGTAAGCTCTGGAGCTGGACAGGATGGGAGTTCTGAAGACTCTAGTGGGGAAGACAGACAAGTAATTAATAGGCCAAGAAAGGAAGATGACAGTATAATAGTGTGGCACAAGTCAAGCATGGGGGCTTGAGTGGGATTTTATTGAGCAAAGTGAGTCAGTCCAGTCTGGGAGCTTTTGAGCTGGATCTTGGGAAACGTGTAGGATTTCCACAGGTGGGGAAGGAGATGTATGGCTTTCCTAAATGAAAAAAATCAATAGAACAAAAAGGCACAGACTTGGAAACTTACGGGCAGAAGCCGGGGCTGGCAATGACTAAAAGGATGAAGTGGAACGTGAGGCTGGAAATGTAGGTTTGCCAAATTGGAAAATTAGCTAATTAATATCTGTTGCATGGAACCTGAATGATAGCATTTCTGGACATATTGCAAAAGAGGGCAGTACCTGTTGGCCAAGGGAAACTGCAACCCCGTTTCCTCTCCGTGCTACACTTGAGCACAAAAGGAGAGTTGGAGCAGACACTGAAGCCCTGGAGTCTGAGGATTCTGCTAGCTCAGGAAAACCACATGTGGTTTAGGAAAAACAGGAGACAGCTGGAGACTGAGAAAAAAATCCTAGAATCGGGAAATTATTTCCCACCAGGAAGCAAATTCTATGAGGGTAGGAACCCTGTTTGGGTTTTTCTTTATGTAATCTCAGTGACTAGCACAGTGTCCAACACTAACAATAAATGATGCGCAGTTTATGAGAAATGCCTGGACAAGAGAGACAACGCTGAGAGGGACAACATGAAAGCTGTGCTAAAACCCAAATGGGTTAGTGCAGACCCATCAAAAAGGAAGTAAATTTAGCTTGGCAGGAATCTGTCTTACCTATACGGACTCTGAGTGACTATTGCTTCTCTCTTTAAGAACTTATGAGTCCTCCGTTTAAAAGCTCACTTAAACTCTGGCCAGTATGGCTCAGTGGATTGAGCACTGGCCTGTGAACCAAAGGGTTGTGGGTTTGAGTCCCAGTGTATGGCACTTGTCTGGGTTGCAGACCTTGCCCTCATAAAGGGGTGTGTGAGATGCAACCACACATTGATGTTTCTCTCCCTCTCTTTCCCCCTTAATTCCCCTCTCTAAAGATAAGTTAAAAAGAACTTTTAAAAAATTATTTTTTTAAAGAATTCACTTGAGATATTTTCCAGAGTCAATGTAAAGTTCACTGGACTAAGTTCCCAGAATTGACCATTTCTCCTCTTTATTTACCCATTTTTCCAGCACACTTCAGTTCTCCACACCTGTTCTAAAATCTCTAATTGTTTATATAAACTAGTTTGTATTTGTTTTTCCCTTATTCTAAAGCCTTGTTCTTCTTGCTTTAAAGGTAACTTGAAATATCACCTCCTCCCACCCCCAATTTCACAGGGCTTGTCCTATTCCGGACTTTACCCTTCCAAAAGTTATTCTAAAAAATAGTGGCCATTTTTGGTGTTCATTATCAGTTACATGAATACCTGTCTCCCACAACTATTATTCTGCAAGTCCTTTTACAAGTAGAATTATTCAGAGAACATGAGCCATCATGCCTTTTGCTGCTCATGGGCAGTGTCAGAAGTTAATTCCCGAAAAGATCCCATTCCACATGAACTAACTTACTTTTTAAGACTGCTCTGGGGCCCTGGCCAAGTAGTTCAGTTGGTTATAGCGTCATCCCAATATGCCAAGGTTGAGGGTTCAATCCCTGGTCAGGGACATACAAGAAAGAATCGATGTTCCTCTCTCTCCAAAAGTCAATTAAAAAAAAAAAGGAGAGAGACAACCCTGGGAACTTCACTAGTGCTTCTTTGCAATTTTTGAAATCTGAGCATCTAAAGTGTAGGACCTGTTTCATTACACCCAACATCCCTTGCCTTGGTTACCATAAACTCTTATACCTGGTCCAGAGTTTTGATTTGCATCAAATCCAAAGTATCACTTCCTCCTATGGCTTCCCCAGTGTCCTGTGAGATGAAATGGATAACAGAAGAAAGTGCAAATATATCACATACTTTATTTTGAATGATAGATTCCCAGTAGATGTCCGCATAATTGGAGAACCCCAATAAAACTTTATCTTGCCCTTGTGAGATAGTTCTGTGAAGTATATTGGGAAATAATTATATTCTAGTCTTGAATATCAGGAAAGAGTGTACATTCAACAGGATAAAACAGATTTGAATGAAGTGGTTGAGGTGTGGGCAGGGTTAAGGGAAACCCACAGGGATGATGGGGCATCCAGGGACAAACAGCAGGAGCCTTTACCACCTCTAAGCTTGAAGGGGAAAAGGGTGGAGGTGTTACCAGGACACCGCAACAGCTTGTATGAGTCTGCTAGGGTTGCTATCACAAAGTACCACAAACCAGGTGGCCTAAATGACAAAAATGCATTGTCTCATAGTTCTGGAGGCTAGAAGTCTGAAATCAAAGTGTCAGGAGGGTTGGGTTCTTTTTAGGATTGTGAGGGAAGGATCTGTCATCTTTCTTGGCTTGTAGATGACCATCTTCTCTGTGCCTCTTTGTATTGTCTTCCCTCTATGTGTGTCTCAATCTGTGTCCTATTTTCTCCTTTTCATAATGACATCAGTCATACTGGAGTAGGGCTCATCCCAGTGACCTCATTTTAACTTGATTACCTCTGTAAAGACTGCATGTCCAGATAAGGTCACTTTCTGAGGTATTGGGTGTTAGACTGCAATGTGTCTTTTTTGCAGGGACACAATCAACCCGTGAGAGCTACAGTGGTAGGAAAGGACTGCCTGACAGCAGCTGTGCCCTTTGATAAAGGGAATAACCATGGCCCAGCAGGGAAATAAATACCCAACTTCTTTCTCCTCTCATCCTCTCAGGCTAATGCCTCCCACTGACAAAACCCAACTGGAAGTCAGAAGGGTACCTGGGTGATGCAGTCCATGCAAGCCAGCCTCCTCGGGTACAGAGCAGGGTGGAGATGGGTGGAGGATGATTATGGAGGGGCCGACAGACTATCCAGCACAAGCCTGTCTGGCCAGTCTACAGTATACACCCAAATCAGCTAGCACTTTACAAGCAAGTAAGCCAGCTTCTTGGGCTCCATGATCCCTGAAGAGGCTTGAGAACAGAAGCAACTTAGAGATAACCCCCTTTCTACCTTGTTCTAGAAAAGCTTAAGCTTCATGAGGAAACTGCTGGAGTGAAATGTTGGGGGAGTCAGTGGAGGAGATAAAAGAGTATAAAAGCTTTGACTTGGTTGGGTAGGTTCTTCAAAGTCTCAACTCTGTCCATTTTTAAAAAAATTTTTTTAATAATATTTTCTTAATTTATAAATCATGTTTATTCTATTACAGTTGGCTCAGTTTTCCCCCTTTACCCATCCCACCCCCATCCCCCGCTCCCACAGTCAATTCCCACTCTGTTGTCCGTGTCCATGGGTCATTCATACATGTTCTTTGTCTAGTCCCTTCCCCTTCTTTCCACCATTGTCCTCCTTCCCCATCCCCTCTGGTCACTTTCAGTCTGCTCCATGTTTCCATGTCTGTGATTTGTTTTGTTCGTTAG